ATATATATTATACGTACTACCAGCCTACATGAGTATTTTTACCCATCCACGTATCGAAAACCCACTTGACAAAACTTGCATTCGCCTGGTTTGTTTACATAACTCTTTGCCTGTCCTCCCTTATATATTCATTCTCATTTTATCTCTCTCTCTCATTTTTTTTTTCTCTCTCTCTCTCATTTATTCGTTTTATCTCGTTTACTCACCCCTGACCCTACATTAAGACTACATATATTTTAACCCTTTGACTGTTTCGGTCGTATATATGTCTTATGAGCCAGTGTTTTGGACGTATATATACTCAATAATTCTAGTGGCTTCAAATCAAGCAGGAGAAAGCTGGTAGGCCCATACATGAGAGAATGGGTCTGTGTGGTCAGTGTGCGCCATATAAAAAAAAATCCTGCAGCACGCAGTGCATAACGAGAAAAAAACTCCAACCGTGTTTTCTGTAATAAAACGGCAACTTTGAGGTGTATTTTGGTATAGTATTTATCGATGTATTCTCGTTTTCATGGTCTCAGGTGATAAAATGGAAAACATATTACAGAAATAAAGATGATTTTGATTAGTTTCACAATGAAAACGACCTTGAAATTGAGCTCAAAGTAGCGGAAATGTTTGATTTTTACCAATGTTCAAGAGTAAGCAAATCACACCACACGTCCAATACACGTCAACTGGGGAGTCTAATAGTCTTTCACTAGTGCACTGATATTATTTATACCATTTTTACAATAATGCAATAGTCCGCATAACAGTAAATCTTCTATTTTTTTTGTATGAATAAAAAATCAATATAGAAAGCAATAGTAACATAAGAGGGGCCTAGAGATGTGACTAATGAACAGAAAGAATGTTATTTTAGTGCCAAGAATGTCGACATTGTTTGTTCTGGACCCTATTTTGAAATTGGCATCTTTTTTAATTTGCATGAAATGTGCCAAATTGACAATTTCTGACCACTTTACTAGTTAGTTCAAATCAGCAAATGGGCAGTTTCTTGTACTCAACTGATAGGAAAAATGGAGTTCTAAAGAAATAGCTATGAGTTTAGTCAACTGGAACAAAGGAATTGGCCAAAAGTAGGGCTCAAAGTTGGCGAAATCGCCGATGCGTATATATTGCCAAGACCGCTAACTTCGCAAGACCATAATTCCGTGAGTTTTTTTGACTAAATTTCGTACTTTTGGTGTCATTACCATCTGGAAAAGATTCTCTACCATTTCATAAGAAAAAAATAATTTTTTTTTCCCCAAAAGTTTTTCAACATAGAATGACAGAGGCTTGCGACAGTCAAAGGGTTAAGGTAAGTAATGAGTGAACTGTATATGCATTTTATCACTCTGGGATGCTTAAATGTCATAGAATATTATGTGTGGGTGGGGTGGCCTGGTATGGTAGCCTGGATGACTACCATACATACCACACTTGATTTCTTACAATACATACTACTTGTCTCACACTAGATTAAGACTACAAATATTTTAAGGTAAGTAATGAGTGCACTATATGTGTATTTTACTTTTCGTTGTTTTTTTTTAATGCCTAGTTCTATTGCTAACTTAATATATGTTCATGTAAACTTGTTATCTAGTATTTGTATGCGTTTATAAGTAAAAAAAAAAAAAGGGTGTTCCACTTTACGGCGATTTCCCCTTTACGGCGCTAGCCTGGAACCTAACCTGCCGTATAAGTGGGGCCCTACTGTACCTGCAGCATCTGCCACATTGCTCCCCCATCCACTCTGTCATATGCCTTTTCTAAATTCATAAATGCAATGAAAACTTCCCTACCTTTATCTAAATACTGTTCACATATACAGTATGCTTCAATGTAAACACTTGATCTACACATCCCCTACCCACTCTAAAACCTCCTTGCTCATCCGCAATCCTACATTCTGTCTTGCCTCTAATTCTTTCGATAATAACCCTACCATACACTTTTCCTGGTATACTCAGTAAACTTTTTTTTTTTTTCAATAAACCAGCCATATCCCACCAAGGCAGGTGGCTCAAAAAGAAAACAGAAAGTTTCTCTTTTTAAATTTAGTAATTTATACGGGAGAAGGGGTTACTAGGCCCTTGCTCCTGGCATTTTAGTCACCTCTTACAACACGCATGGCTTACGGAAGAAGAATTCTGTTCCACTTCTCCATGGAGATAAGAGGAAATAAACAAGAACAAGAGCTAGAAAGAAAATAAAAGAAAACCCTGAGGGGTGTGTATATATATATGCTTGTACATGTATGTGTAGTGTGATCTAAGTTTAAGTAGAAGTAGCAAGATGTACCTGAAATCTTGCATGTTTAAGACAGAAAAGACACCAGCAATCCTACCATCATGTAAAACAATTACAGGCTTTCGTTTTACACTCGCTTGGCAGGACAGTAGTACCTCCCTGGGCAGTTGCTGTCTACCAACCTACTACCTAGGACTCAGTAAACTTATTCCCCTATAATATTTACAATCTTTTTTGTCCCCCTTCCCATTATATAAAGGAATTATACATGCCCTCTGCCAATCCCTAGGTACCTTCCCCTCTTTCATACATTTATTAAACAAAAATACCAACCACTCCAACACTACATCACCCCCTGCTTTTAACATTTCTGTCATGATCCTGTCAGTTCCAGCTGCTTTACCCCCTTTCATTCTACATAATGCATCACGCACCTCCCCCACACTCATATCCTGCTCTTCTTCACTCCTAAAAGATGATAAACCTTCCTGGCCAGTGCATGAAATTATCGCCTCCCTTTCTTCGTCGACATTTAAAAGTTCCTGAAAATGTTTCCGCCATCAACCCAATACCTCCATCTCCCCATCTACTAACTCCCCTACTCTGTTATTAACTGACAAATCCATTCATTCCCTATGCTTTCTTAACTTGTTTATCTCACTCCAAAATTTTTTCTTATTTTCATCAAAATTTCTTGACAGTGCCTCTCCCACTCTATCATCTGCTCCCCTTTTACACTCTCTCACCACTCTCTTCACCTTTCTTTTAATCTCCATATACTCTACTCTTCTCATAACACTTCTGCTTTGTAAAACCTCTCATAAGCTACCTTTTTCTCTTTTATCACACCCTTTACTTCATTATTCCACCACTCACTCCTCTGTCCTCCTGCACCCACCCTCCTATAGCCACAAACTTCTGCCCCACATACTGATACTGCATTTTTTAAACTATTCCAACCCTCTTCAACACCCCACTACTCATACTAGCACTAGCCCACCTTTCTGCCAATAGTTGCTTATATCTCACCCTAACTTCCTCCTCCTTTAGTTTATACACTTTCACCTCTCTCTTACTTGTAGTTTCCATTTTCCTTTCGTCCCATCTACCTCTTACTCTAACTGTAGCTACAACTAAATAATGATCCAATATATCAGTTGCCCCTCTATAAACATGTACATCCTGAAGCCTACCCATCAACCTTTTATCCACCAACATATAATCTAACGAACTACTTTCATTTATACCGTACATTTTATTTGGGAGTGTGTGTAAAGGTAGAAAGTTGAAAGTGAACATAAAAAAGAGTAAGGTGATGAGAATATAAAATGATTTAGATAAAGAAAAATTGGATATCAAATTGGGGAGGAGGAGTATGGAAGAAGTGAATGTTTTCAGATATTTGGGAGTTGACGTGTCAGCGGATGGATTTATGAAGGATGAGGATAATCATAGAACTGATGAAGGAAAACAGGTGAGTGGTGCATTGAGGTATATGTGGAGGCAAAAAATTTTATCAATGGAGGCAAAGAAGGGAATGTATGAAAGTATAGTAGTACTAACACTCTTATATGGGTGTGAAGCTTGGGTTGTAAATGCTGCAGCGAGGAGGTGGTTGGAGGCAGTGGAGATGCCCTGTCTAAGGGCAATGTGTGGTGTAAATATTATGCCGAAAACTCGGAGTGTGGAAATTAGGAGAAGGTGTGGAGTTAATAAAAGTATTAGTCAGAGGGCTGAAGAATGTTTGTTGAGGTAGTTTGGTCATTTAGAGAGAATGGATCAAAGTAGAATGACATGGAGAGCGTATAAATCTGTAGAGAAAGGAAGGTGGGGTAGGGGTCATCCTCGAAAAGGTTGGAGGGAGGGGGTAAAGGAGGTTTTGTGGGCGCGGTGTTTGGACTTCAAGCAAGTGTGCATGAGCGTGTTAGATAGGAGTGAATGGAGACAAATGGTATTTGGGACCTGACGAGCTGTTGGAGTGTGAGCAGGGTAATGTTTAGTGAAGGGATCCAGGGAAATGGGAAGTACAATGCCTGCACTCTAAAGGAGGGTGTTTGGGATATTGGCAGTTTGGAGGGATATATTATGTATTTTCATACGTATATACTTCTAAATTATTGTATTCTGGGCACCACTGCAAAAACAGTGATTATGTGTGAGTGAGGTGAAAGTGTTGAATGATGAAAGTATTTTCTTTTCAGGGATTTTCTTTCTTTTTGGGTCACCCTGCCTTGGTGGGAGATGGCTGACCACATCGACTGAAGGATGAGGGACTGATTACCTCATTCTCCTCCTGTTCTTCAAGATTCTCCTTTGTATGGACTGATGAAGCCACTGTGTGGTGAAACGTTTCCTCAATAAAGATACCCAAGAGTTGCACGTGTCTAATTTATCACCTCAAACTTACGACGGGCTCTCTGACCAGTATGCATACCTAAATAATGTACATTAAAGCTGATTTCTTCTATTCTGTTTATTACAATATACAGTACACTAATGTATATATTTAAAAATATACCAGAAATACTATAAATGGTGCAAAGGTGACATTAAAACAATATCAAAGATGGATGACATAAACCCACTACATTATAGTATGCTCCTCACTTCGCAACGAATTCGCTTACTGACGTGGTCTTAGGAGTGGAACTCCATTGTTAAGTGAGGAGAGGCTGTATTCATCCAATGCTCATCAAGACACTTAACCAAGTCAGCAGATGTTCTGTTTATAACTAAAACAAAAAGAATAATTATACCATTGTCATTCCATCAAGTAAAGTGATTTTGCGGTTTATTGTCTCTCTCTCTTCCTGTGAGGTTTTCTTTTCTGACAACTTCTTTTCGAAGTGCTGTTTGATGAGATGGTCTAAACGGAAACATTCCCCAGTCTTTACATCCTGAAATAAAAATTTTGAAATGTATTATAAAATACTAACAAGTGAAAATCACTAGAATTTTCATAGAAAAAACTTACTATGCTTTGCATTTTTCATACAACATTTTGTATATATAAAATGCTTTGCATTTTTTTATATACAACACTACAAAATGCCAAATGCATATACTATATTGCTGTTTATTACCTCAAATTGAAGGTAATGGTAATAATCTTTACCTTTATTAAAATTAATAACTACAATTATTCACGGTAATTACACGGTTAACTAAAACTTATAGCACACAAGGTATGATTATTCTCTAATACTGTATTTGCCTCAGAGAGAGCAACTTCAATATAACATACTATACTGAAAAATTTGACAATTATTACAAATAATGCAGTACAGCAAATGAAAGAACATTTCATACAGAAAGTGAAAAAATCCAGGAAATGTCTATATTAAGAACATAAACTTCAAATTTTCTCTATGAATGAGAAATGATAGTATCAATATTGTGATCAGTTTGAGAAACAGTCCAGCATCAACATAATGCAGGTCAAGGACAAGTTACATGCTTTCGTGGTTTTTGTCACTGACAACAAAACTATTGGCTTAAATGGTTAAGAATCTTCTACTGGAAAAAGTGCGGAGGCATAGACTGGACTGCAGACTAGCAGTTACATTATGGACAAATTATTCAACCCATCATCTCAGAGAAGGAAGTGTAACAAGTAGCAGAATTAAGTACTAGTATTAAGAGAAGTAGTGCAGTGATAAAAGTGGCAATAGGAAGATAGTAGTGGTAGTGAAACAAGGGGCAGAGAGTGGGGTGTTGCTGCTGCTGCTACTGCAGCAGCAGCAACAACACCAGCAGCAGCAGTGGCAGAAGAAGAAGAAGAAGAAAAAGAAGAAGAAAAAGAAGAAGAAGAAAAAGAAGAAAAAGAAGAAAAAGAAGAAGAAAAAGAAGAAGAAAAAGAAGAAGAAAAAGAAGAAGAAAAAGAAGAAGAAAAAGAAGAAGAAAAAGAAGAAGAAGAAGAAAAAGAAGAAGAAAAAGAAAGAAGAAAAAGAAGAAAAAGAAGAAGAAAAAGAAGAAAAAAGAAAAAGAAAAAGAAAAAGAAAAAAGAAGAAGAAAAGAAGAAAAAGAAAAAGAAAAGAGAAGAGAAGAAAAAGAAAAGAGAAGAAAAGAAAGAAGAAGAAGAAGAAGAAGAAGAAGAAGAAGAAAAAGAAAAAGAAAAGAAAAAGAAGAAGAAGAAGAAGAAGAAGAAGAAGAAGAAGAAAAAGAAAAAGAAAAAGAAAAAAGAAGAAGAAAAGAAGAAGAAAAAGAAAAAGAAAAAGAAGAAAAGAAGAAAAGAAGAAGAAAAAGAAGAAGAAGAAGAAGAAGAAGAAGAAGAAAGAAGAAGAAAAAGAAGAAGAAAAAGAAGAAGAAAAAGAAGAGAAAAAGAAGAAAAAGAAGAAGAAAAGAAGAAAAAAAAGAAGAAGAAAAAGAAGAAGAAAAAAGAAAGAAAAAAAGAAGAAAAAAAGAAGAAGAAAAGAAGAAGAAAAAGAAGAAGAAGAAAGAAGAAGAAGAAAAAGAAGAAGAAAAAGAAGAAGAAAAAGAAGAAGAAAAAGAAGAAGAAAAAAAAAAAGAAAAGAAGAAAAAGAAGAAGAAGAAGAAGAAGAAGAAGAAAAAGAAGAAGAAAAGAAGAAGAAGAAAAGAAAAGAAGAAGAAAAGAAAAAAGAAATAGAAAGAAGAAGAAGAAGAAAAGAAGAAGAAGAAGAAGAAGAAAAAAGAAAAAGAAGAAAAAGAAGAAAAAGAAGAAAGAAGAAGAAAAAGAAGAAAGAAGAAGAAAAAGAAGAAAAGAAAGAAGAAAGAGAAAGAAGAAAAGAAGAAGAAGAAGAAAAAGGAAGAAGAAAAGAGAAGAAGAAGAAAAGAAAAGAAGAAGAAGAAGAAGAAGAAGAAGAAGAAGAAGAAGAAGAAGAAGAAGAAGAAGAAGAAGAAGAAGAAGAAGAAGAAGAAGAAGAAGAAGAAGAAGAAGGTGTTGCTTAACAATTACATGCTCTGGAGGTAGCAAAGGAAAAGCTTTACTTATATGTAAAACTTAGAAATCATTAGACAAAATGACAAAATTCAAAGGCCTTTAGCAGCTTTTTATACTTAAATGACAATTTTCTCATGGCAACATAACCTCTACAATTTTGAGAAAAAGAAAGATTTACATGAAGGCAAAGAAAAGTAGTAACAATGGGTAAGCTATACTAACCTTAACCATATAGTCAGCAAATTTATCCACATGTCCAGAAGCCTTCAAAACTACCTCTGATGTTAAGATGGAGCAGTTGACCTTCAGCATGCGTTCCTGGATCACAAAATGCTTTTGCCATTCAGCAAGCATGTTGTCCACCAAATCACAACCCATTGGTCCAAAGTCGTACTGTCCTGTTTAAGGTTATTAAAATGAAAAGTAAAATGAGAAGAATGTGTACACTTAACAAAGGCAAACCACTAAAGCCTTTTTAATGTATTCTACAAACTTGCTTTAACATAAATACACAAGTTCTTCATTCACAAAAAAAAAAAAAAAAAAAAAAAAAAAAAGTTATAACTACTAGCATATAAAAGTTGACAATATATATGAAATCAAACTTATTTAAGAAAAAAGGTATCAATGACTAAAACAATACACTAGAAAATGCTATGATACATTATTATTATTTTTTATTAACACATCGGCCGTTTCCCACCAAGGCAGGGTGGCCCAAAAAAGAAAAACTTCCATCATCATTCATTCCATCACTGTCTTGCTAGAGGCATTCTTACACTACAGTTATAAAACTGCAACATTAACACCCCTCTTTCAGAGTGCCGGCACTGTACTTCCCAGCTCAAGGAATCAACTCCAGCCTGCCGGTTTCCCTGAATCTCTTCAAAAATGTATTATTATTATTATTCAAAAACAAACTTCCATGGGAATCCACAGTAAAATTATACAAATACTGTATCACGATTTTTACAGCACAGTACAAAAACTAAGAATAATTTGTGTACATTAGCCATAGGAAAAAAAGGATGTTTAAAGACATACCAGTCATATAAGATTATTCAACACACACACACACACACACAAAGAACATTAGCAAAGCAATCTATACAAAAAACTGATTTAAAACCCATTCATATATCAGTGCAAATATATTAGTATACAAAAGCAAAGTACATTCCTGTTATCATTAGTATGTATACAAAATTCCACTCAGCAAACTTTGAAAACTGACCTGTGATGCCACCATATATGGCAAATGAAATATCATAAAAGAAGCGTCTTTTGATCAGATCATTCATTTTGGCTCGATCAAATGTGTCTGTTGGACTGAGGCTCAGAATCATGTCCTCAAGTTCCTGGAATATACAAATATAATTTTTTTTTCTTTAATTAACACATCAGCCATTTCCTATCAAGGCAGCGTGACCCAAAAAACAAGAAACACTTTCATTATTCACTACATCACTATCTTACCAGAGGTGTGCCTACACAACAGTTAAAAAAATGCAACATCAATACCCCTCCTTCAGAGTATAGGCACTGTACTTCCCACCTCCAGTACTCTAGTCTGGCTTGCCTGTTTCCCTGAATCCCTTCATAAATGTTACTTCACTCACACTCCAACACCAAGTCAAGTCATTCAAGTCATAAAAACCATTTGTCTCCACTCGCTCCTATCTAACACGCTCACGCACATTTACTGAAGTCCAAGCTCCTTGCACACAAAACCTCCTCTACCCCCTCCCTCCAACCTTTCCTAGGCTGACCCCTACCCTACCTTCCTTCCACAACAGATTTATATGCTCTCCAAGTCATTCTATTTCATTCCTTCCTCTCTAAACGTCCAAACCACCTCAACAACCCCTCCTCAGCCCTCTGAATATCACTTTTACTAACCCCACATCTCCTAATTTCCAAACTACAGATTCTCTGCATTATATTCACACTGCACATTGCCCTCAGACATGATACCTCCATTGCCTCCAGCCTTCTCCTTGTTGCAACATTCACAATCCATGCTTCACACCCATATAAGAGCATTGGTTTCCACAGACTCTTCATTGCACCACTCACCTTCTCCCCTCATCAATTCTACTAGTCACCTTGTCTTTCATAGACAAATCTACTGACAAGTCCACTCCCAAATATATGAATACATTCACTTCCTCTATACTCCCTCCCTCTAATCTGATATCCAATCTTTCATTACCTAATTTTTTTGTTATCCTCATCACCTTACTCTGTCTAAGGCCTACTTTTACTGGGAAATAATCCCCTCTCTCCTTCATACTCTAACCTGAGCCTCACTATCCTTGTAAAAACTCTTCACTGCTTTCAGTAACCAACCTCCTATTTCATACATTTGCAACATCTGCTACACTGCCCCTCCCTATCTACACTATCATACACCTTTTTCAAATCTATAGATACAACAAAAACCTCTTTACCCTTATCTAAATACTGTTCACCTATATGTTTCACTGTAAACACTTGATCTACACACCCCCTACCCTTCCTAAAGCCTCCTTGTTCATCTGCGATCCTGCTTTCCATCTTACTCTTAATTCTTTCAATAATAACTCTACCATACACTTTACCAGGTATACTCAACAGGCTGATTCCCTTATAATTTTTACACTCTTTATTGACACAGTGGCCCATGGCCTGGTCACAAAAGCTCTCGCTTCACATGGTGAGGGCCCAAGTTCAATTCCCAGCAAAACTTGAAACATTGGGAGTGTTTCCGTACACAGGCTGCCTATGTTCACCCAACAGTATAAAATGAGTACCTGGGTGTTAGCCGACTGGTGTGGGTCACATCCCAGGACAAAACTAAACTAATTTCCCCAAAATGCTCTGCATAACAAGTGGCTTTCTATACAGCAATATGTCACTGATGTCAGCTAGGCCTGTATACCTTGTACATGTACAGTGGAACTCAGGATTTCGTATCCACCAAATATCGTACGTTTTGGATTTAGGCCACTTTTTGGGGAGAAATTTTGGTCCAGATTTCGTGCCTCGTCCCGGAAATCATCCATATCAGATGCGTCCCCCTGGGCTGCTCATACGTTCATGACTCACTCTTGGGCACATTAACCCTTAAACTGTCCAAACGTAGATATACATTCGCCTTCGCAGTGCTCTGAATATTTTGAAAAATAAAAAAATCATTTTTTGTTTTTAAACTGAGGAGCGCATTTTTATAAATGGTATAGGATAAAATTTTTTTTTTAGGGTTAGTACTTACCGAGATATAAGCCCGCGAAGTTGGTGCTAAATGATGTCATGTCGACAACGTGGAGCACTGCCGCTTGCAGAAATAAACATTTATAGTTTTTTCCAATTCTTTTCTATTTTTTGTTGTTTTCATGTTATGATTATAATGTTTTGTTGCAGATCTTTTGATTTTATAGCCAATTCTTGTTGAGACACAAACGTTTGGTACTGAATTAGTAATCATACTGTCACAAACACACATGTTCACATTGATAAATGAATTTGCACACCTGGTTCAATCACATACTACTGTTTACATATATATATATATATATATATAATGTATTTACAAGTCCCATTTATGTTTCTAGAAGTCCACCACTGTATGGTACTCCAAGAAGCATGGATTCATACAGTGCCACCCCACATTGCTGACACATTTATCATGTGTCTTTTTGCACTTGGGGTCGCTGTTTAGTGTAAGCACACACAACACACTTTTTCTGAGAGTACTTCTTCTTTGGAGTAGATGGTAATGGTACCAGGCAGTGCCAGTTAAGGATTATTCGGTCGGGCACTTCCCCCTCTTCTTGTGGAATGACAGGTCGCTGTTGTGGGGTGACAGGTCGCTGTGGAGTGACAGGTATAGGTGTAGTACCATACTTTTTCGCTATCTGCTCGATGATACCGAGGGTGATTCTTCATATCATTTTCACTTCCCAGTCTTTATTCATACATGTTGAAGGCACTGAGCACTGCAATGTCTACAAGGTGGAAAAAACTTTTATATACCACTTGTGACTCCTATGCACACAGTTAACAAACCCTATCATCATGTCACACTTGTCAACTAGTCGCATATTGTTCGTATAGTCGATGACAGAAGCTGGCTTTACAATAGGTTCATTGTTGAACCTGCTCAGTCTGTCTGCCTGTACCATCTCGTTTCTGTGGATGGTTGACAGCAACGTCACGTCCCGTTTGTCATGCCACGTCAGTGCCATGATGTCATTGGCATGAAACACTAGTGGCATGATGTCATTGGCATGAAACACTAGTGGCATGGTGTCATTGGCAATAAACACTTCTACTAGACTTCCCCCAGTGAACCTTGGCATGTGTTTTCTACCACTTCTCACTGCTCCACATACATCAGTATTGTTCACACGTAGGAAATCTGTGAGCATAGGGCTTGTGTACCAGTTGTCTGTGAACATTGTATGACCTTTGCCAAGGTATGGCCCCATCATCTTGCAATCATCATCCCCAGAAATGCCCAATATGCACCTGGTATCGCCGAGTGTATTTTTCCGTGTAATGACATCCAACACAAGACCAGTCTCACAGTCACACATAACAAAGAGTTTTATACCAAAGCGATTACATTTGCTTGGTATATATTGTTTGAATGACAGGCGTTCCTTGAACAGAACCAAGGACTCGCCGACAACAATGTTCTTGAATGGATAAAAGTAGGCACTGAATTTTTGCTTCAGATACATAAACAATTCCCAGATTTTGTATAAGAGGTCATTTCTGTTTGGCGTATTCCTGTCTGAGAAGTGCAACATTTGTAGCAACAGGGTGAATCTGTTGCAGGAAAGGAGGTCATGGAAGACTGGAGTATTGATGAAGTGGTCTGTGGACCAGCAGTGTGTTATATTGTTCTTATAGGTGTGTGGCATAAGCATGACAGTGCCAAGGAATAAATACATTTCAGCTACAGTCGTATCTTTCCACCTGCGCATCTGAAACATCTGTGTGGTCCATTGTATACTGATAGTACATGTTGGTCTGGGTAACAATTAGGTTCATTATCGGCTCATCAAAGTATAGTTGAAAATAATCTAACTCTGCAGACTCATTTGTGATAGGACAGTGTGGCATGATGCCACTTCCACTGCCATCAAAATTGAAAGGATGTGGCACAAATGGTGTACTTTCTGTCCAGTTCCATTTGCGATCACATGGTGCAGGGTGGACCTGTGGCATGGGACGTGGGGGAGCAGGAGGGGGGACAAGAGTGGAGGCAGCACATGGTTGAGAGGGTGCCGGGCAGTCATTTGTCTGCCCACCCACTGCGCCACAAGGTCCAGGCACCATGCCACCCCCTTCTTCTTCCATCCCAGCATATTCACCTTCATTATCACTATCACTATCATTGGCTGGGTTTTCGGATTGTGACCTGCCACGACCCTTGTCACCAACTACACATGGCACACTGTCTGAACGTAGGTTCAGGAGAAAAATGATAATCACTTTCACTCGACGAATTGTCTATCGGCATAAAATCGATTTCATCATCGTCACTTATATCACTTTCACTATCGTCATCACCATAATACATGGAAAATGATAATTTCCTCTTGCGGAGTTGCCTTTGGGAAGTAACACTAACAACCCCAGAGGTGCTGGGCTGAGGGTCTGTTATGGCCACACTGGCCACCTCAGAAGTGCTGGACTGAGGGTCTAGTATGGCCACACTGTCCACCCCAGAGGTCATGGCTTGAGGGTCTATTGTGGCCACACTGGCCACCTCAGAAGTGCTGGGCTGAGGGTCTGGTATGGCCATATTGTCCACATTATCCACACTGGCCACCCCAGAGGTCATGGCCAGAGGGTCATCTGGGTTATCAATAAAAGTTTCACTAATTCCATGAACTTTAGCGGCTATATCGGTGTCAAAACCACTAAACTCGCATTCTATATCACTTTCCGGGAATAGTAGAGTGTTAATACGTTGAGGCGTCAGTGAATCATGGGGGTTTGCCATAATGTTGACCCAAGATGGAGTTGAAACTAACTGGTGTTACCACGAGGTACCCCAGCATCCCTGACTTTTTTTCAATGTGCACACACTGAGTGAGCACATCCATTCTCTCATGTCTATGCGACTCAGGCCTATCACGCCAATTTTGAAGGAATGAAAAATAAAACGTTGATCTACGTTCAGAGCCTGCCGCACGTGAACGTATATCTACGTGTGGACAGTTTAGGGGTTAAATGTCTTATTTTAGGCTAATATAGACATTTTCACTAATCCATCTATGATATTTTCTTCAAAATTATATTTTCTAAGAAACATGTTATGTAGCATATAAACATTGCATGATTATATGAAGTATATTTAATAATA